ATTAAATTTTACTCTTTCACAGCATTCTCACCAAATATACTAGCTGAATGTCTCTCACTCTGATCTTATGACACTTGTATCTGTAATTGTCTTTATGGCTTTCAGCATCTATTGTAGCATATTGCAATCATGTTGTGAGCATGTCTTACCTCCTGAGAGATACTGTGAGTTTGTGGCAAGGGACATTGATGCTGTAGCTCAATATTAACACTGCTATTTTGGATTTTCCTTTCTAGCTGGGCTATTTACTTAAGACCTCTGAGTCTGATTCCTCATCTGCAGAATGGGTATAATTATATTTACTTTATAAAGCCGTTATTAGGAATTAATGATAGAATTAATAATACTTAAAATAATCTTAAGTATTAATAATACTTAAATAATCTTAAGTATTAATAATACTTAAAATAATCTTAAGTATTAAGAATGATATTTAAAATAATCTCTGGCACATAATGAATCCCAGCATACAATAACAGTTTATAGTTATAAACTTTGTTTTTGAAGTCAGAACCCTGTGTCTTATTACTACTTTTCTCTTCTTGTAGCTCAGTGAATATTCGTTGAATTCAGATTTGAATTTAAGTCTCATTTCTGCCAGGGAATACGAACACTGTATAAATAGATTTTGATACTTGTCTGTGAGAACTTCAAGTTGATAGGGGAGCTCGTAACAGAAACTGGTTATTTGTTATTGTGATAAGTATAGTGATAGAACAATAACCCCAGATAGACTATTTTGAGAGCACAGAAGAGAGGTTGGAGAAGGCTTTCTAAGATAACTTATGCCTGAGCTGAGTATTTTATTAATCAGTTAGGTACCTGTTAAAATAATGTGTGCACATAATATAAAACCCAAGGCTATGTAATAAAATAGCATTTTTGTCCTATTGACAAGTATACCCACTCCATTTCTACTGCTTTCAGTTCTGTGTTTCTAAATAAAATGTTTATTCCTTGTTTTCCTTGATTAAAAAAATGTTAGATATCAGTTGACTTCTCACTATTTGGCTCTCTTATACTATACTCCTCCTAGCCCTACTTTTTAAAACCACACATTTTTTTTCTCCTATTGTTCCAATATAATTTCTTTTTTTTGTTGTTAAATCAGTTTAGTAATAGTTACTTTTACTATGTAAAAGTGTGTGTCTTCCTGTGCATATTATATACTGATTACTTTGACTTTTTAAATACAACTTATTTTGTTTCCTGAAGTTAATAATGGCCTATGTCCAAACCTTCCAAAGTTTTACTGGAAGTACTCAGTGTTTACTGGAATTCGTGAGCCATGGTTTACCCGGTATGTGGCATATCTAGGGCGGGCCCTGGGGGAAGTCAGCCCTAGTGCAAGGACCATTTTATCACTGGGAGAATTTACAATTGTTTGGCGGGGTGCAGTGGCTCACGCCTGTAATCCCAGCACTTTGGGAGGCCGAGGCGGGCGGATCACGAGGTCAGGAGATCGAGACCATCCTGGCTAACACGGTGAAACCCCGTCTCGACTCAAAATACAAAATATTAGCTGGGCGTGGTGGCGAGCGCCTGTAGTCCCAGCTACTCGGGAGGCTGAGGCAGGAGAATGGCGTGAAGCTGGGAGGCGGAGCTTGCAGTGAGCGGAGATCATGCCACTGCACTCCAGCCTGGGTGACAGAGCGAGACTCTGTCTCAAAAAAAAAAAAAAAGGATCCAGGTGATAAAAGGCTCACCAACTTTTTGTCAGTTATATTTCTTAGATTTTCTGCAGACAGAACACTCACTTATTCTCTGCCCTTGGACATTCTGCTTCCACCAACCTGTCCTTGCTAAGGCTGTGAGTTCAGCTAAGCAAGGCAAGGGGTGGTGCTCCGAGAGAGTGGTAGGGTATTCAAGAAGATGGGACGACCTGAGTGGAAAGCCGTGGCAGTGAGAGAGAGCATGTTGTGTTCATGGAATTACAGATAGTTTGGTGTAGGTAGAGCATAGAGTACAGGGCAGGACTAGCTAGCTGAGATGAGGCTGTGATGGTGGGCAGGAGTCAGATCAACGCGATCTTTTTATTACAGACTCATACACACTAGATTCTGTCGTGTAGGCTATGGGGAAACTCATACTGTTAAGTAACATGGTCTGCTTTGCTTGTGAATGAATGACAGAGTAAGCAAAAAGTGGAAAACTAGCTCCTGAAGTCAGCAGTTAAAATGCTGTCTTTGCATATTCAGTGACGTATTAATATTTTAGGGGTACTCCATCAGGCACATTGTTAGAGCACACATCCCCAAGAATACACGCACATGCACAGAAACGCACAGACATTCATTGTTTATGTACATGTGTTGCTACTGTAGTTAATATTCAGGGCCCAATAAACACCGAAAGCAAGGTCTAGGTTAAATGATGGTGCCTCTAACAGTCACGTCTGAGTTTCCTGGAGACCTACTCTGACATGTAGATTTACATGCAGTGAGTTTCTGGGAGGATTCTGAGGGACACTACCTGCGAGGGGGTGAGGGAAAAGGACGGACAGGAGGAGACGTGGACTGTGATGCAGCTGAGGCTTCAGCTCGCCCATGAGGAGCTCTGGAACTGGATGCCTGTTCAGAGATGTTCTAAACATCTGGAGCCAGGCCTTTATAACTGAACATCGAGGTGGGATGTGGGCCATCCCTGTGGAGGGTCCACAACTGTAAGCTAGGGCTATTCTTGGAAAGGGACTGAGCTGGGAGCTTCCAGCAGCCAATACTCCTGGCAGCTGGGAGAACAAATGCCGCTGGTCAGCACACCACAGCCTCCACTACAAACAACCTTTCTGATAACTTCTCTATTTTTTAGAATTCTCAGATTTTTCTTAAAATGCAGATGCCAAAGAGCTAGCAATTGGCCCATGAAATGCAGTTCTGCCATTTTCCTGGGTTCACTTATGTTTGCATTATTAGTATTACTTGAAAATCTGTCATTTGTTTTTGAGAAGGAAATCTTTTTAAACCCCTTGTCCATTTTATGAGGGTTAATTTAGCTAAAAATGAGACAATGCAATCCACAATCCATTTCCTCAAGCACATGAAAACTGTTATGTGTGACAAAATGGTGAAACAAGAGATAGTAGAGCATTAACATTAACTTCTTCCTGTTGTGAAAATGAGGGCCCCCATGGCAATCTATTAGTAATTAGATGAACAAATGCAACCTTGTAGATCATCTTGAATTTCTGGCTTTGGAGAAAATTTCTTTACGGAATGAAACCAAGGCAACATTTTAACTGGAGGTAGGACAGCTTGTTGGACCTAGACATATGGTGGTGGTGATGGGGTCCCTTTGTATGCTGAATATAGTGTTACTCAGTACGTGGACAAGAGGTAATCAGCCAGAAAGTGTAGTCCTAGGTTTTTTCCAGGTTCCCAGGTGGGCATCTAAGTCAGGGCTCTCCAAATTTTTCTGATCATGTATATAAACCATCAATAAAAAATACATTCCTCTATTACCAGTAAACACACAGAAAGGGGATTAGATAAAGAGGAAATAAAGAATACCTATACAATCAGAAATGTAATTAGAAGCTGTAATGTTTTCTTCAAAATGCCAGTGGACTTTTTCTTCTTTTTTGCACCCACTTCAAATACTACTGAACTAGATTTCTAAAGTATAAGTTATGTACCAAATGGGGACAAAGTGCGTTGGAGACAGAATTTGGCAATTTAATGGGTTTGACCTATGCAGCTATTTAAATGAGGTAGTATGAGCTCCAAGTATTAAAAAGTGAACTGAAGAAAAATTAGGTTTTAGAATAGAATTGGGATGCTTTAAATTTTTTTTTTTAAAATCATGGAGGGAATGTGTGTGTGTATGTATGTGAGTGTATATCTGTGTGTGTGTTTGCACTAGCCCGGGTCATAATGACTTAGCATTTCTTCCTGTTTAGCCGTTCCCCACAATTAACTAAAAGGTTGGGGCCACACTGACACCATTACCCTTCTGTATATCTGGCACTAATTTATGATCCATATCCTGCCTTATATCCCAGAATGCTTTTGAATGTTCTTCCATTGTTTTATTTTCAGATTTATCAATGTACAGATCAGTTAAATGCAATAATGAAAAGATATCTTTATTAGTGTCATCTCAGCAATAGAAAAACTGAAAAGACAATACCTTCTATAGATATAATAAGTTCTTACCCATCTTTTTGGAATTTTAAATATTTATAAGCATTTTTCTGGTAAAACTCAGACTAATTTATAAGAATTATCCTAGAGTCATCTTGTGCCTGAACTTAAGATAGCTTCCTTATTAAAATCTTTTATTTTGCTAATAAAAATCCATTTCAATTATGTTCTCTTTTTTATATTTAACAGTACCTGCTCACGAGATATTGGTTGCTTTAAATTTCTTGGAAGAAAGGCGATAAATACATTTCAGGTAGCATTATTATTAGTTTTCATTATAGATAAAATTAAAAGGTAGCTGGATTTGGAACCAGTATATAGATGTCTTAATAAGGATATGGTAATCATGGTTCAGTCCCTAAGGAAACTTAATCACATAATCTTAAATATAGTTCATAAGTTAAAAGGCAGAACCTTGTTATGCTAGTGTGCTATTTTTAAAATAATAAAATTAAGATTCTTTAAAAATATATGTACAAATGATCTTTCCATTATTGAGTGTAGACTGTCCCTCAAAAGAATATTATGACTTGAAATGTTCAAGTGACTCCATCCTTACTTGTTGTTAATTTCTTTATAACTATTTGCATTTGCATATTGATTTTTAGAAACTTTTTTTGAGCCAGGGTCTCACTCTGTCACCCAGGCTACAGCGCAGTGGTGTAATCTCAGTTCACTGCAAACTCTGCCTCCTGGGTTCAATTGATTCTCCAATCTCAGCCTCCTGAGTAGCTGGGACCACACATGTGTACCACCATGCGTGGCTAACTTCTGCATTTTTTGGTAGAGATGGAGTTTCACCGTGTTGGCCAGGCTGGTCTGGAACTCCTGATCTCAAGTGATCCTCCTGCCTCAGCCTCCCGAAGTGCTTGGATTACAGGTGTGATCTTCATAGTAATTTAAAATAAACAACGTTGTATTTGATTAATCTTAACTTCTTATTCATTCATTCAAACATTTTTTATTGAAAGTCCATTTTTGGTTACATATGAATTGAGTAAGGGGGTTACAATGGTGAGCAGCAGAGATTTGGTCCCTGCCCTCATGGAGCTTCCAGTCTAATGAGGAAGATGGAGGTGAGTCAGCTGACCATACCAATAGACTAGAGAGATGCTCTCTCCTCCACTGTTGTTGTGAGTGGTAGCTGAACTGTTCATTCTTTTAAAAATCACAAACGCATAGAATCTTAAAGAAATGCTATTTACATTAAACATTTTAGTATTTTTAACATGTGTGCTTTACTAATTTATCAATGTTTCATTGTTCATCAGTGTTTATCAATTTCCCAATTAATTGGCATAGAGCTCAGAACCTAAGTGTGGATCTCTTGAGTGATGACTCATTATCTTCTTGGATAAGCCACACCCAAAATATATATTGAATACTTCTTCGTTTTGATTTATTAAAAATGGCAGAAGACTTTGATGGCATTTGGCAAGCAATCTAAGTGCAGAATTTGCTAGTTTAAAAAATTTTTCATCCCAATATTATGAAGTTGACACCTAATATAGTGATTTTTATAAACAATTTGCCTTTATTCTTTACAAAGCATTCAATTTGGTGTCAATAAAACATTCGTTTTTGTCCTTATATTTCCCTAATTATGTCATATTTAATTAATTTTCATGATTACAATCACAAATGACATAAACAGACTTGGGATGTAGCAGACAATTAAAGTGGTGAGAGCAGGATTGTGTGGGTTACTAGAGGAGACTTTTTGCTATTAGGGTGCCACGTAGGCCTATCGTATGCTTTGCAGAAGAAATGGAGCACATTAGTTTCTCGGGTGACTTGGGGAATGTAGGTTGGCTAAGAACGTTGTACTATAAATATGTACAGTGATAAGTGCTATCGAGTGTATTATCAAGGAAAAGTACAGGCAGCTATAAGGAGATATAGAGTAGCCGGATTTATTCTAAAAGTCCCAGAATGCTTTCATGAGGAAGAGCCATTTGGGCTACGGTATGAAAAGCACTAAGGGCCAACCAGGTGGAGAAGTTGTGGGTGCGTAAGGATAGAGAACAGCAGGTACAAATCTCTGCAATGGGCTAAAGCTTGGACTGTTAAGGGACCAAGACAGCAGTGTGGCCAGGGTACAGGAAAGAAGGGCCAAGGCTGTGAAGGATGAGGTTGTAGGAGGCGGGGGTCATATCTCATAGAGTTTTGTAGGTCCTCTTAAGCCTTTTTGTTTTTAATCATAAAAGCATTGGAGAGTTATTAAAAGATTCAGAATTGTGATTTAAAAAGATTGTTCTGGCTGTTGTTTGGAAAAAAGAATGAAGGGACATCAGGTAGTGATCCAAGTAGCCTAAGTAAGAAATGTTGTCCTTATTCTGAAAACTCTTCATTGTACTGTTTTTCGTGGCCTGCTACGTGACTAAATGGGTCTTTGAAATACTTGAGGAAAAGCAGAGCCTAAATTTATCATAGTTTAAATCTTCTTATCACCTAGGAAGACCTGAAACAGAATTTTCTATACTATATTCTTGCTTACCATCTTCTCCTTTTACATTTGTATTTATGTTCATTGTTTCAGCACATTATGTTCTCAAAACAATAGGGGAAAAAAGGAAAAGTCATTCTTTTAAGCTTGTACCATGCTATTGACTTTCTCTGAAAGGACAACAAGTGTGTTTATTTTATCCCTGTGAGTCTAAAAATTAACCATGAAACATCCTTCTTTACTTCTAAACTATGTGTAACAAAGAAATGCTTTATTGCAATTTCATCAATAATTCAAATGCAACTTAAAGGAAAGTAGGGCAGCTAAGGAAAAAAGCACACTTGTTCCATAATTGAGTCGATTAAATAGTATTGAGTCCCATTGTCATAGTCATATTGATGAAACAACTTTTATAACTACAAAAGGTCTAATAAGAAATAAAACCTTAGAATTATGATGCAACGTCATGGACATTTCTTAGTTTTTTGTTTTTTTTTTTCTATTGTAAAATACAAATAACGAAAGCAACCTTTTACCAAAGTGCAATAATAAAGGAGCAGCTTTTGAAAGGTGCTCTCATCAGGATATTAGTAGTTTTCAAGGCTGTGCAGTAATAACCCAAGCTATTTTGGAACTGTGCATACATTAGTGTTCTGGTGCAGCATGATACAATAATGTGTGAAAAAGTATAAGATCACACCTTGTTTAAATTTGCAGTTTTTGTGCATAATCCCACAGTGAGCTCTTGCAAGATTTTGACTGTTTATAGGAGAAAAAAGTTTATAGAAGCCTACAGATTGGGGCCTGTTGTAAATATCTGACAATGAAAATAAGGTTTTAAAACAATTGCATGCCATATGTTTTGAAAGATTAAAAGGTTATGTTAAGTTTATATTATATATAATATTTTGCAATTCAACTTATGGTTAGTTTCACCCAGTGGAATCTTCAGAATACACATACATAACCATCTAAAGGAAAATGTAGATTTGCTCTATTTCATATTTGCAGAGTATGATTGAAAAGTACAGAGTTTGATTTTTGAAAACAATGATTGCACTATAATTTATGCATTCATATTAATGTTGTTTTCAAAATTGTCACCCAGAGAAGCAAAACCCCTTTTCCAATGATGCCATTGTTCAAAACATTTTGGAAAAACTTCCTCTCTCGAAATTGTCCTTTGAATCATTTGCAAGCCTGACTAAAACATCCAGCTCATTACTTTCTAATCGCATTTTATACCAAGATTCATCATCCTTTTTTTTATTCACCAGAATTGGCTATAAATGTCTCTCTGAAATGATGAAAATGGCTAAAATTGACTTTCAAATTATGAAATTTGTCACCATTGAGGATATTTAGAAGTATGTGTGCTTGCATGTGTGTGCACAGACTTAGAAAACAGTTTCAGATGGAGAGAAAGATACTGTGAATAAGTATCTTTGAGTGAGTTGTGTTCTAAGGTGACCATTAACATGGTAAAATACATTTGAACTTAGATGACAAGGTATGTTTGTTTAAAAAAGTCATACATTATTTTTTACAACGTATACAAAGAAAAATGCGAATACGTCTTTTGGAATGCAAGGCCAAATACCTTATATAATTAGCAGTATATTTTATTATTAAAACAATTAAAGGATTAAGCAACTACAATGCTAATCCTATGTTGGCAGATTGTTCAGATAAGGTCCTAACGTGGGAACATCTCTGTATAATTTTATTTAAATATTGCCATTGACTGTCTGATCTGTAAGTATGTGTATTCATTAGCATCTTACGAAATTCGTATTAATTTTTATGTCATTTGAAGGCACTAGTTGGTAGCACTTGGAATTTTCATTTCAGTTCACCTCTTCATGTAAATAATTGACCTAGTTTTCGAAACTATTAGTAATTGTTTTCTTAGCCCTCAGTAAGGAACCCATATGGTTACATGTGCTTGAAATGTAAAATAACTGGAATAAATTCCAAATGCTTTCTTACTTTAAGAACTCTGTGGTCATTCGGTGTTTATGTGTTGAATGACTTATGAGTAAAATGAAAATGAAGTAGGACTAAATTAATATACATATCCAGAAATTCACCCATTTCCTCCCACTTTGAACATCTTTATTGTGTTCCTTCTTAAATATGTAAGAAATGAAAGAAATGTTTGCCAGAGAGACTTAGGTGACTAGATTTTCCTTTCTGAGTATAAGGAGAGCAAACAATTTAAAGATAATTTTGCTGTGGTCAGTTTTTGTGACCCTGTACCATCTTTGTAATGTCTGACTTCCAGCTTGAGTGCATTACAATAGGGATCAAATGTCTATATTTTAAGAATGTCATTGGTAGCTTTTTGAAAGTTCGTAGATTTAAGTGTAAACCAATGTTTGAACATGAAGATCTGGAACACACTTTTGTAACATCACCTTTCAATATAGGTAGCTCAACAGTTGGAGACCCTAATGACTTCTTGTTTAACATGGTATGTGATTTACACAGACTAATTTGTGTTTATAGTAATTATTTTACCCTGGTTAACTACCTGTGCTAAAATTTCTTTGCTTTCTGGCTTCTTACTACCCAATTGTTTTTTTTTTCTTACCTGAATGCATGTATCCTTGACTTTTCTAAACATTTTAAAACACAGGATTTATGCAGGACTTGTTCCAAACTAATAGATACTTTGTTCTTTTTAAGCACGTTGATTTATATTAATGGAATTGGCTAATTTGTTTTTGTAAAGTTTTGTTTTCTTAAAGGGGGGATGAGTTTTGAGGCACTAAATCAAGCTGAACTACCTTTAGCTTTTTGGTAAATTTATGTCACTTATTAATTGCCACGAATTTTTGACAACAAATGTCATATTTGAAATTCTACTGGAAGTATAACAGTGTGATATTGTTCATTTGTGATATGATAATTGTTCATGAACAATATCTAAAATCTGTAATAGATTAGAAAATGAAATTCCAGCGTTTTTTTTCCCCATTGATAAAGATAAATATAGAAAGACCATATTTTAAATATGTCACAGTACTGCTAACAAAAAGTTAAGAGTTTTAGTGTTGTAGGAGTTAGGCTAGTAAGTAATGTTTATATAATCCTGATAAACATTTCCCCATAACTGAATTTTGAGTGGAAAACTTGGTTTCTTAAAAGGCTCTAAGTGGAAGAAAAAATATTGGAGTCTGTCTTCTTATTGTGTAGTGTGTGTGTGTGTGTGTGTGTGTGTGTTTGTATTTAGATCCAGTTTAATACCAAGTAATGCCAACATCTGGCAGAGAGATGGAGATCTGGGAATTTGTTGCTCGAAACCCTGGGACAAAGTGTTCTGATCTGACCGGCAAACATAGCTGTGGACTTGAACTGAAACCTTCAGGGGCAGAAACGTCTTAAGTGTCTGGAAAATTGGCCTGTTGAGTCACCGTGAAGGCACTAAAACAAAACTAATTTTAAGCAGGTCAAAGTTCAGTGATTCCCTCTGGAATTCAAACTTTTTTTAAGAGTCTCATGTTTAAGTGAAAAGGGTCAAAGTTGATGCACTGTTACAATGTTTTGAATGCTTTCCCTTAAGAACAGCCACCCAAGCTGGGATTAGCATGAGGAACTGCAAGGCTGGCACTTCAGCGTCTGGGTTAAAAATATTTTAAAGCAGTAAATGCAGTCAGTACAGAGAGATCCCTGGGAGCCTTTCTATTCAAAAATGTGTGAGCTCAGGGCAGCGACTGCAATGTAATTTAGGGCAGTGTATGCTTCATAGCTTTGGAGAATATTGCTTCCTGTTAATGTTCCATCGGAGGATGGTAGGATAGTAGTAATTTTAGAAGGTGGTATTCCTGTTTGTCTTACATCGAAAACTTCAGAATAAATAAAAGGAAACATCAATCGAACCAGAAATGTAACTGTGGAAAAGTACCAATGAATCTAAATTTGAACTGAACAGATACAAAACCAGCATGGGTGTAGGAATATTTTTAAAGAGGAAGCTATGGCAAAAGCAACTTCCCAGGGAATGGACTGAGCAGGTATGTACAGTGTGGACAAATAGTCTGCAGAAACTTTCGAGAAAATGCCTGGTCAACAGGGAGGTGCTTTAGCTGTGACTAGATGAAATGGCGTTGAGTATTTGAATGGAGGAATTATTTTAGAACATGGAAACATAGGAGATTTTTTTCTCAGTAGCTGGCATTCAGATGGTAGCTAGATAACCTAAGCAAACCAAGTCATTAGCTAATCACAATTCCTTGAATGAGACTGCACTGGGAAAGTCTGCTGGCCTGACCCTGAGGTGTGTGGTTCCAGGACTTCTGATGTTAAAATGTTATATACTGCCGTTGATGGGATTGAACAGGCATTTCCTCAGTCTGAAGATTATATTGCTGAGCAGAATGAAAACTAAACAGGATTCTCAGACATTAAAAAGAACCTATCATTTTATGAGTTTTGTCTAGGAAATGCAAGAGGAACACTGACTCTGCCTTCAAATTTTAGGGACTCAGCTAAAAACTCTGGGCAGCTACGAAATTTGGCTAGGATCCAGAGTCTGCTAAACTCCCTGTGAAACTTTGGTTGTTCTTATTAGCCGTTTTATTTTTCCACCAGTTGCAGAATAATTCTGTTGCTTTTCATCATCAACCTATGATACTCACTTGGAAGAAGCTTTAATTATTTAGTTATTTATTCAGTAAAGATCAGTTATTCCAATTTGAGGAATTACATTTTGCATTGTGTTTACTGTGTCTCCAGAGATATGAATTCAGTCATGTCTATTTATTTTAAGGAGATAAGCCAGGAACATGTGATAATATTTTTACCAAAATAGAGGAAAAATGCACACGGAAGAATGAAAAACGAAGTTATTATTGTATGGCATGATGACTGTCTCTTGTACAGTTTTGAATCAGAAAGGGACCCGAGTTGTGCTGAACAAGGAGAAGACGACATGCATATCCTGCATGTTTTTTTCCCCAAATATAGGTAGATAGAAAGTGGCCTTTGATTTGAATCTTTGAATTCAACTGTGTTTATAAATAACATTATGAATGCTGCTTATTTTAATGTAGTGATGAAGAATACGGGAGAATCACCTATTACAAAGCTTAAATTAGAAAAATTAAAAATGACAAAGGTTTTCAAGAACTGGTGCTAGGATTGTAATGCAGGGGTACTTTTAGGGTGAGCTCTGAGACTTCTCTGACTCCTAATTAGGGCCAGAAGTTTAGCTTTTTGAGCAGGGATTTTTCAGAAGTAAAATTTATTTACTATCTACACTGTATGAAAAAATAGAAGCATCAGCATATTCCATACTCGAATTCATTATTTTAACAGGACTCGTTGACAGTTTGATCACAAATGACCTCTTTTAAAAAAAAAATGTGTGTTGCTCTGAACTTTTGCCCCTCAAAACCCTACAAGTCTTTGCAAGGAGCGCTTTTGAAGGGAAGGGTCTTAAATCGGTCTGATAGTAAAATGCCTTGATCCCGACATCTCTCTCTAGGTGCTGTCAGCTGTTAAACTTGTGCTAGCACACTGCTGGTTCCCCATGCTGTGCTGATCCTTTTGTTTAACCAGCATTTCTCTTAGCTTTCCCACTTAAACTAGCTATCAGAATCCTATAGGTCAACTAGACAGTTTGCCTTATCGCAAGCTCACCTGAAACATCTTTTGAGGTAGGGCCTATGATTTCATGACAAATAGTCACCTCAGTGGGGAGCTACGGAGCTCACCTCTATCTTCCAAGGGTTAACAGTAACCTATAATAATAATTTGGTGACACAAAATGCTTCTTTTTGTGCATTACCTATTTCCAGAGGCCTAATTTAGGTTTGAATCAAAATGGATATCACAAACAGTACAGCTTCCTGCTGAGAAGCAAAGTGCTACTGAGAGACTTTCTGTGATTCTTTTGGTGGTGTCTGGGAGGGGTGAAGGAACACAGGGTGGAGGGGCGGGGGAAGCAATTGTCAGTCGCTTATAGTGGAGCTGGGACCAGCCGTGGTAGAGAATGGTTTTCAGGGGCAGAATAGCTTTATGGAATGGTTCTATCAGGAACTGAACTTTGTTCTGTTGCACTTGATATGAGGCAAATTTTAGAACCAGGAAAACAGCAGAAGCAGTTACAACAGATATCTTATTTTTCTGTATGATTTTCATACTTCATGCTCTAGCAACAGTGACTGCGCTTACCCAGCTGTAAATACAAAAATAATGATATAGTGTCCAGAAAGTTTTCAACCTTAAGAGTCTGTTAAAACTCTTAATTCCTCATCACAAAATCCTTGGCTGTGCTAGTGCAATTGGAAAAGCAAGCAAAGTTAATCTGTCAGTGTGTCCTGTCTTCTCTAACCTTTTACCCTCTTTTCAGATCGCTTGGTAACTACCCCAAACATACTAAGACATCCTCTATTGTCCTAGTTCTTCTCACAAAAGAAAGCAAATTAAAAACAAACAAATTTATCATGATTTTTCTAAGCTATACCCAGGAGTATTTGTACTTTAAATAGAAACTTATGAAGGGTTGTTTTTCATCAGTGTTTACAGTGAGTATTTCTGCCTATGTGGGTGAGGAGAGACGAGAAAACTATGACAGTATTATTTTGCAGCAGGGGTCTTCCAGTGAGCCCTCTATTCATGGCACATAGGCTAAATTCCCAGTAAAGCTAAGCCGAGAGCCGATTTGAGCCCAAATATGGGATGGTAAATGACCTGCATTTTAGAATTCAGTGATGGAGGTGGTTATGCATTTCATGCCTTGGGCTCCATGGCGGCTTCCAGTCTGGGCCTTTGCCTTGGCTGGATCTGGTTGCTGTACCTGGTAAAGGGATGGGAAAACCTCATGGAGCTGGGCAAATTGACAAGAACTCCATCCCAGAATTTTAACTCCAGTTCTCACTTCGACATTTTGCTCTTGCATGTTTTCTGAGAGTGCAGCGTTTTTCTTGGCTTGCTGCTTCCCCAAGTGGCCAGCCCTGGCTTCCCCTCTGGACTCTGGGGATGTGTTCTCAGAATGCCCGTTTCCCACTCGCTCCTGGGAGCACCATGAAGCAGCAGCTGTCCTTTGCTTTCCCAGCCCCACTCCTAGGAGAGGCTTTGGGTGCACAGGCTTCTGTCACATACTTAATTTGTGCATCTCAAGCACAGCTTGCTCAGCTCTGCATTTTTGGCTCAGTGAACACGTTGAACATGCCCATATAGGTGTTCATCTTGGGGTATACTCATGTAGGGATAATAGACGTTATGCTGTCTCTTTTCAAGGACTCAGGTTTTAAGAGTCTCCAGTTAATGGCTATTGGAAAAAACATTGATTTTTGAAAAATGTGCTGTAAGTAGCGTACTCATGATCTTCTTTTTTGATTCCTTAAACAGCTATGTAAAAACCAGAATTTTAAGGAGTTTCTTAAAGAATGATTTTAGACATATTATATCTACTTCCCTATTTAATTGACTATAATTTATTTTGTAAGTGTTAGTCTTTCAAAGCAGGAAGACTTTCTACCACCATGGTCTAAGAGTTTGGTCACTTTTCTGAGGGATTGCTGAGATCTTCCTTGTAATAGTAGCTCCCCGAAAAAAAAAAAAACAGAGAAAAAGAAATAACATGAAACCCCCCTCAACTGCAGCTTTTGTCCCATTTGAATTGCAGTGGATAGTTTTCAAAAACTGCAAGTGGGGTGATGATGTAAGATGGACTTTTAGCTCTCTTTTCAAAGTTTCTTCTAATTTTTCTGCTTATTTCATAACCTTTACCTAGAATGAGAGTATATTCATGTTGTTTAGTATCCTTTGTTTTCATAGTATCATTTTTTTTTCCATAATGATTGGTGGGTAGAAATGGGCAGGGTCATGCTTTGGGATCTGAGCCTCCTTTGGACCCCATAGGATGTCAATGGACTCATTAGGGTTTAGCCAAGTTTTATGCATTATTCATAATATACATTCACAGCGTGCACACTAACGACTGTCTCCTGTGTCTGCTTAGTCAGAACCATTTGCATGCTGTAATATGGAACCATAATACAGAATGCATTTAGCTACATTTTCTGTATTATCCTTAATACATATTGTCATCATTTTCTGTTATGGGGTATGTGGTGAATGTGTTTAAACAATAGCATGCACTTGTACATTATGATTCCATAAAAACAAATGTATAATAAAAGTCTTGATGGAAGTAATTATTGCATATGTGCAATAACAGTTTTTAAAAAAGCTTTCATATTATTTCTAGTTTGTTTTTATTGTTTGATTATCTAGTTATTTGTTTTATGTTGTTTTATGCCTGCTGGACTGATGTCCTGAAAATTTTAATTTTGAAAATAACATACCTTGTTTATCCCTTTCATATCTTACCTCATTAGTTTCCCTAAATGCATATTTAAAAACATAATATTTAAGAGACTTGATGATTAGGAAAAGCATGTTTCCTAACTACCAATTAAAGATCTTCAGGGTATTTGTTATAAAGAGCCCGTGTTCCATGTATCAGCAGAACTACGCTGCGTATGTGAGAACTTAACATCAAATTGTCTTCCATATCCAAGATAGAGAATTTCTGAGTTCTAATGTCAGCGAGTCTAACTTATTTAGGGAATTGGCATCTTTTTGTCTGGAACAAGTTCCTTATAAAATGGAATTGACCATGGATTAATTCCAACAGAATATCATATTCATTATGTCTTTCAAAAAATTCTTAACTTCCCCTGGAAAGAAAAAAAAACCTAGAAATGCATCTGTATATCACAAGTATGAAGGAAACAAATAATGTATTGAAATTTTAAGTGATAATTTGTTGAAAAGTTAGGAATTCACTGAGGATATAGACTTCTAAATCAATTTACCTTGCTATAATGGAAATAGTTGATATAGTAAAAGGATTCATTGAAATTCTGAGTTTTCTCTTTTGAGAGGCTACTGGTGGTTTTCCAGTAGTTAGAAGTCATTTAGTTTCTGGTTACCTGCTAGTAAACTCATTTTATGATGCTCACTTTGAAAACCCTGTGATTCATTTAGTGTCCTCCAAACAGAG